ACTCCTTCATAATTTAAAATGGCATACGGACATTCTAAAACTATGATGTCGTTGGCCAATAAAAACGACAACGAAGAAAAGCTTTATCAAAAAAAAATATACTGCCTTCGCAATAGCTTTGCGCGAGATCAAACACAAAACACTCATGAAACACGAACCATTATCCCAAAATATTAAAGGCCACGCAGTGATACAAATTCCGATGAATTTAGTCGATGAATCGGTCCCTGTAGTCTTCTCAAGAAATTGGACAACATTACTGAGATGATCACGCATGTGCTGAGGAATAATAAGATAGAGATATTTAAATTGGATGCCTTGACGATACTATTTACTTCTCACACCTTCGAAGGACAACTTATTGCAAAGCCAGTTTGGTCTTCTGTTGATTCTTACCTAACAATTGTTTCACAATTGCAACCAGAACAACAAAGTAGTCCGTTGGAATAAGTGGCGACGACCCGCGATGTGTAATTAGTGCATATCGTTCACTTACCTTCAATATAGTAAATTTAATTTGCGTAAGTACTAAAGCTCGCTCTCAGAGCACCAGCAGTATGAACATCACTAATAGGACCAAAAGTTGAAAAGCAGCAAGGTGTGTGAGCGGAAAGAATTTTTTCGAAAGAAGTAGTGAAGCATTGATAGAAAACGTCATAACTGCTATTATCTACAAAACAAATGAAGCACACAGCACCTAATTCACACAAACATTCCAAACAAATAGCTTCTGTCTGAGCATTCTAGTTTTTATCTCGTTTTTCCCACTAGCACAAAATCTACATTTTATTGTCACGATAGAAAATGGAATCAAGAACTTACAACGCCAAGGGCTAATTTTGCCCATTCGTGAATTCCCTTAATATCTGGCTTTCCACTAGATTGAAAATGAAGAGCTGGAGCACAAGTTCTAGCAATTTGGAACCATGGAACAATAGGGCTAAAAAAATAAATTTGATATTCCAAAGAACTTATTCTAAACACCGTCAGCGACAAGATTACTAAACAAACGGGCCGAATATGTGACGTATTGAGTAGTAGATAGTCCATTTGCTCAATTTTAGACGAAACAGTTCCTGCTGTAACACATCCAAGACCAATTTTCGAAAGCATCGTTGAAAGAACGAGCGAACTCTTCTTAAAAAATGATAGCATTCAAAAGGCAGCAGAAACTTACGACTGAATTCTAACCGTTGGTTGCCGCGGCACTGCAACGAGTTCTTCGAGCACTGGAATATTCATAATAGTTAACAGACGGGATAACGCAATGTCATGCAGTTCAGCCTCTTCTGAATGTATTCATAACAAGGATCAAGGTACACGATACATGAAAAACTTGAAACAGCAGACATTGTAAAGTATGAAAGAGAACTAAAAATTTACCACCAATGGAACGATTTTCGTTGAGAAGATGGGAAGTGAGGTTAAAAAAAAACTTGAAGGTTTAAAATACTGCTGCGTAACCTGCATGTCATCACTAGCTGTGGATAGCTGCGGAAGACTCGAGAAGACAATAGGCACCGATGTGCTGTCATCCACATTTTCAGCTACAACCGTTATACCATACCATAAACATTTCTTAGGTATAAATAGCGAACAAATAACAAGATTAAATTTTATTAAGCCAGGTCTACCTCTGCTTGGAGAAAAGAATCCTTCGTAGCAGTTTGTTCGGGGCTGTCTTTTATCAACTTGTTTGACATTGTTCATAGCGAAAGCACAAAACAAAATACAAATACTATTGTAGGTCCTTTAAAAAACGAAAAAAATCCGTAGGTACCAGTAACGTCTCCGTTTGTCCTCTCCGGCACTAGAGCCTCCCATACAGGCTGGTCTGCTTGAACGACACAAAGAACACTACACTTTGAATAAGTTTCTCCATTTTTTCTTTTTTGGTTTTCATAAGAATAAGTTTTCATGTGTATTACTTCAAGCCCTATTTTAAAACATGTGCACCTAAAAACCGGGTTTCTGATTCTGCAATAGGCGCGAAAATATTTGATCCAATTTGTCTCAATCAGTATCCACCCAGTCGATTAAAAGCTGTGGCTAAACTTCTTATCGTACCCTTTTATGAAGAAGGAATAGGTAGTAAATAAAAGGCAAGACAGTGTGCATTTGCTCTGAATTCTGCAAACAATAGAGAAATTAATGCTCGAACAGTACTAAACCGCTCATCGCAAATCCAGTTGTCGCTTGTGAACAGCCAGATACGTATACGACATGCGCCGAGATAAGTTAGTGGTAAACACTCACTTTCAAAGGATGATCCAAGAGATAACATACCTATACCACATTTCTGCGTGCATACTTGGTTAAGTTTAAGCGAAAGATGTTATATTTCACGTCTAAATCACTAGAGCGGCAACTAGGTGTTATTATGGCACTAACATATCTTAACCCTATGGAGACATTTAAACCACAAAATAGCAGCAAAGAGCAAACGACTAAAGCCGCTATTATTTGATTAGATCCACTAACAATAAACGTGAATGATTATGCAAAATTAACACCACGTTATCATCATAAGTGGATAAAGTAATATTTATGTTTACAACTATGTCTACCTGACCATCTGTGATTTATCTACGCATTCGTCTTGCAAATTCATGAAGGAACATAAAGCAGAACACCTCAAGTTCAGAAAACCTGGTGAAGCGACTCCTTCGCTTGGCATTAATCCCGCTTTCCTTTAAAGGATTCCTATCATATGACAAAACGAACGTAAAATCGTTAACCTAAAAAAGAAAAGAAGGCGAAAGCACTAACAAGAAAGGCAACTTGCCTATGGTCTCGATCTGGATTCATTGTGTACGTGATTTTTGCGCTATCACTGAAAAGCGGAGGAGAATCTCTAACGGACGAGTTAGTTGGGCGAATCACATCTTCACGCAACCATATTTCCAGGACCTACAAGTTTAGAAATTTCAAACACGTCGCAGTAACGTTTCTCTTGGGAAATAAATGTGCCAAGACAAAATTCCAAACGATTGTTTTAAAAATTGAAGAACAGAAGTTGTAGTGGTACATACATATATATACGTGCATACATGTACATATACATACATATACATACCTACCTACTTATATATTTATATATTTATTTGTAAATTACGAACTGTACTATAAAAGAAATAGGAAACCTTTTGCACATATATGTATATATAGAAGCATTTCACGTCTACTTAAATCCTATAAAGTAGTATCTTAAAAGTAAGAAAAGAATAGTAGAATTACAAGAAACTATTCTGCTAACACAAGGGCGCGTGTGGCGCAGTGGTCGGAGGCGCTCTGCAACACACACTTGGAACTGATCCCAGCGCACATGGCACACCAAGCCTTCCATCCCTCCGGGGTTGGCAAATTGGTACCAGACTTGTCTGGGAGGATAGGAGGACTGGATCGATAAAATCCGTAAACCATTGCGAGTCATTGTAAAGACCAGATATGCATCCAATCACTTCCAAACAATGCTTTATAAAGTCGAAAAAAAAAGCATGGCGCGTCCCTCGAGGATTGATCAACGGCGAGAGCTTCATCCTTTTTTTATTCTATTATCACAGAACATACTACTACATTATGCCATATTCACTCATCGTAACCGTATTTTGAACATCGTAATCTCGTCACTCTACAAGAAATGAGATCTTAAAAAACCTTCAAAGCATTTTCCCTTTCAACGGCGGAAGTGGAGAAGTGTTCATGATTCGTTTGCAGATGTTCGTCCTAAATATTAATCGCATCAGATCCGGAGAAAATGCAATTTTTTCTAGAATAAATCCCAAAAATCATGGAAAACTTGATCAATTTGCTGAACAGACCTCTTCTGCACAACAATCCGAAAGTGATCTTTCATTTTCTGATATTTCATTGCAGTTGAGAATGTACACGAACATGGGACTGAAAGCACAGTCGTTAACTCTTCACAAAAACGAAATCTGTAAAATGTAAAGCAATACCTGTTGAAGCCTCAGGTTGCTGCTGATCCGCACCGTTGGCCATCGTTCTTTGAAATTCGATCTTAACCGATTTGCTGCGAAGGACCATACAATAAAACTTTTAACTGCAAATTATTGCAAGACAATGACCGTCGTAGTCTCCTAGTCATCCCTATGAGGTGCCTGGAGTGAAAATACATTACGATCACAAACACACACCTAAACAAAAACAAGAATTTTCTTGCTTAATTCTTTAACAATATACTAGATACAATCGGGATCACAGCATAAAAGGTAGCCATTCTTGAATCCAAGCACTCTCCGAAAGTTCGGCAAATTGTCATGTATAGGACAATTTATTATACAACAATCACTATACTCTTCAACAATTACGGAAAATCATAGGCATTGGCAAAGCAGAAGAATAAACGATAATTGAATTTTAAACTGGCGCGCTGAACGCTAGCATTGGAGCGCGACATGCTTGAGTATGGCATTGTATGTTATATACGGATTCGCTATTGTTAGGAGATGAAACTTAACTACGAAGAAGTAATCACGTAAGTAATGAAGAGTTTATTGTCATTTATAAATTGGTAGAGAATGGAAGGGTTTAGGAGCAGTGTTGCAATTGTTTATTCCGACGTAATAACTCTACTAGTTGAAAAGTTAACAGCACTTCACGTTTTAACACGAAAAAAGATAAACAGTTATTTCTGTAATGTTCGTTCTCTTCCATTTTGTTACCGAGCAGCAGCATAGTAAAAAGCCAATAGCGAGAATTTCAAGTGGCTGCAAATTCGAGGAAAATCTTCATTACGAATTCCTCTCTAAATTACGCTCTTTCTTACATAAATTTTCGCAATTCTTCTCACTTTAAAATGTATAAACTACCTAAATCAAAAAAGCGTACAAAGTCGATAGGACAGACCTTACCAGCAAGGGTTGAAACAACAAGCACCCAGCTTGGGGAACGAACGCGCTATAACACTTTCCGGGGTGTAACACCTTCACCACCACAGCACGCGGGTCCTTCGTTTCGCGTGTCTCTCAGCTAGTTCTATCGATCTTTTTTTGCCATCAGCAATCACCAGTCAACGGGATTGATCTGGGGAGCCCATATCGGCATTGAACCCAGTTAAGCTGAGGCTATAGTTGAAATCACAATGTTTTACCACTTTATTTTTTGCCTACTGCAATTTTCACGGCAGGGTACTAAGCGCAATACAACCACAACGTTGCTAAGATATTTGCAAAACTCAGTTTTTGAGTGCATTATTCACCTCTATGATTTATATTTTCTTTTTCGATTGGCGCACCTTGCTAATTCCGGTGTTTTTCTGAGATTCCCTCTGGTTTCCTCCCACGCCAGTCACATATGTGAAAATATTCCGCTAACGATCTACTACATTTCTGCATGTACTGTTCTGTTTTTTCTTTTACCGAACCGCAGTCATCTGTATCACCTGTGATCCCGTTGATCAACAAGTGACTGAAGCAGGTGCCCATAAATCCTTCATTTTTCCTTATCGCGTGAAAGAGTAGCCGAGTGGGGTTCTGCTTGGTCTAGGAACTAGCTGAGCATCATACCTTTATTCTAGGCTTTTCTTGAAGAACAGATCGGAATTTCCGGAGCCATGTTATTGTTTCACCATCACTACCTTCATGCTAAACTTTTTTGAGCCGTCTCTGAAAATACGACTGAGTTTGAGTTCATGAAAGAAAAATTGTCGAAAATTAGTTTTTGACATCAAAAATTGCAAAGCTCAAAATTGGCCAACTGATGAGGAACTACGACAAACTCTCCACCCTTATCACTAACGGAAAGTCTTATGGTTTTCAACCTTATCAACTCTCATACCTCCCGCATACCACATTTTTGCACTGGAGTGAGGTTTGAGCTGTATCTTTTCGCGCGATAGTGATTAAGGACCTTGAGAGTTTCATTCGCAAACATCCGAAATTTAACATCAACTTCATTATTGGTCTCTTGTTGTCTAAAGAACGTCGGGGGAAATGGTGCTATTGGTAGGGCCCCCACTTGATGCTGCTCGCACCTATTTAGCGCTTCATCTCTAGCTTTTTTGCGAAGTCTACCCTGAAGTTCATGTAAACCACATGCGACCCTACGCAAGGTTATCTTAGAAATGGGTTCAGATGGTGAGAAACTCGGCCCCAATTCTAATAACGAGCGCGCACCGTCAGGGAGAGTAATGCCTCCTAACACGGTTAGCCTTGAATTTTCTTGCACATTACCTATCCTAATGTGATCTGTTTGATGTTCTTTAGCGATATTTTTGTGCGCTATTGTATTCTGTATGCGCTGTTCTACTGTAGGTATGTAGACGACTGCTTTGTCCTTTGCTCAACACAAGAGGAAATGGACAAATGCTTCAAATTGTTAAACGCACAGTCAGAGTATATCAAGTTCACCCGAGAAAAGCCGAAAGACAAATGGCTTCCATTTTTGAACGTACAAATTCACCTATCAGAAAATGGCTACATTACAAAGTGGTACCGGAAGCCAAGTAGTAAAAACATTTTGGTTCATTACCTCTCCTCTCACCCCTCTCACACGAAAAGGGCGCTTATAAGAAACATGTTTCGAACGGCAACCAACGTGTGTACGGGAAGAGAACAGAGAGAGGAGTCCCGAAACTCGGCACGGCAAATAGCCGTTTCTAATGGCTACGAAACTGTAGCTCAGAATAGGTGTAAAGGAAATCGTAGGCCTCCAAACGACAACTCTAGCGATAGAAGGGTCTCGTTTATCCTACCCTTCATCTCAAATGATATAAGTACAGCTATAAAACGCTGCTTAAGAAGAGCGGGCTTAGAGAATTAGGTGAGCGTAGTTGAAATACCACCGAGTAATCTTAAGCGCCAGCTAGTTCGTAACCGCCTATATGACCGTCTATGTGNTCCCGGAACTTGGCACGGCAAATAGCCGTTTCTAATGGCTACGAAACTGTAGCTCAGAATAGGTGTAAAGGAAATCGTAGGCCTCCAAACGACAACTCTAGCGATAGAAGGGTCTCGTTTATCCTACCCTTCATCTCAAATGATATAAGTACAGCTATAAAACGCTGCTTAAGAAGAGCGGGCTTAGAGAATTAGGTGAGCGTAGTTGAAATACCACCGAGTAATCTTAAGCGCCAGCTAGTTCGTAACCGCCTATATGATCGTCTATGTGCAACCCAAAATTGCATAATTTGCCCCAGTGGTAGAGATGGTGATTGCATGAGCTCGGGTATAGTTTATCTGATCTCCTGTAAGACGTGTGGTGACGAATACATTGGCGAAACGGGTAGACCCCCCTGTATCCGCATGAAAGAACACCTAGCCGGCAAAAATAGACCAAATACCCCGCTAGGCACGCATAGGACCCAGAGATATAACGGGGACGACTTCGAAGTATGTGTCACGATCCTTGCACGCGAATCATGAACACAGGCGCGAAAAACTCTCGAGGCGCTCTGGATTTATTCCAGAAATCCGAAAATGAACCGCAGGGAAGAACGCCTCATTATCACGCGTGATATAGGGCAGTATATTAAACTGCTTTTCTGATGTGAGGGGCACATTATACTTCCATGTGATTTCTGTGCGGTTGGTCTCTACGTGACATACTTAGTGGAGACTTCACAGAAAGCGGTGAGTGTGCAAAGCTGTGTTCAAAGTGATTGAAATCTTGGTTTGGAGTTTCTTTGTTTGGTTATGGAGGCATGAAAGCGGTGAGTGTGCAAAGTTGCGTTCAAAGTGATTGAAATCTTGGTTTGGGGTTTCCTTCTTTGGTTGTGGAGGTGTCTGGCCGAGTGGTTTGCTATTAGCGTGACCTTTCCAGGCTCTGAGGAAGGCGAAATCCGCCGAAACGTCAGCTTAATCGTGAACAAAGAATAATAACACCTCGCGTTTGCTCTACAAAAATACGGTGAAAGTTTCTTGATCAATGCCGAGGTTAATAGAAAGTCGGTCGTGGCAGTTAAATATCTCTATCTTATTATTCCTCAGCACATGCGTGATCATCTCAGTAATGTTGTACAATTTCTTGAGAAGACTACAGGGACCGATGAATTTGTATCACTGCGTGGCCTGTTATATTTTGGGATAATGGTTCGTGTTTCGTGAGTGTTTTGTGTTTGATCTCGCGCAAAGCTATTGCGAAGGCAGTATATTTTTTTTGATAAAGTTTTTCTTCGTTGTCGTTTTTATTGGCCAACGACATCATAGTTTTAGAATGTCCGTATGCCATTTTAAATTATGAAGGAGTTCGACGTGCTTTTTATTTAAAGGCCTTTACTAAGTAGGCACAAGTTTTCTTTCTCTATAGTAACCAAATTTTCCGCTTTCTCCAGTACCAAGAAATGTCTTTTCCACTTTTATTAATGCTTTTTTCGAAAAGAAAAGGATCTAATACAGTGAAGTTCGTTTCGCAGGATATAATGGTGCTTCTTAATATCCTCAAAAGAATTTTTCTTTCAAGCCGCCACGTTCATTCTGAGGTCGTTCAGAAATTTATTATCCTTGAATTTTACGAAAAAGAATTAAATGGAGAATTATTTAAAGTTGAAGTTTTAGTAGGAGAGAACATTTGAAAAGCTTTTGAGAGCCTCGTCAAATTCCTCGTCCATATTATCGAGTACGGTATCTTCCCAACAGCCTACTAGTGAATTGAATAATTCTCCAGTTTGCCGCCGTTTCGGAAGTTGGCTTCTTGAATTTAACCACTTTCTCTTCATTCGAAGAGAATGAAATCATGCACGAAAAATGCGATGGTTTGACCGCGTGTAGAATTTTCGGACAACAGAAAGATCGATTAGGCAAACCTTTTGATTTACTGTGATGTATATTTTTTTGTTATGGTACTCTCTATTAAGGGACCCCAATGTCCAGCGCTGAGCTGGGAGACTCTGGAATTGCGAGATAGCACATGTGGTTTTGGGCATTCGAGGTGGATTGCACTGGTCTGCTTCTATGTGGAAGAGATAGTGTTGTGCTCTCTGTACCCTTCAAGGTGTAGTGTGGTGTCTTGGCTCTGAGGCGCCTCTGGGCGGTCAGAAAATA